GACATTTTGAGTGCAGCATTTACACAACATCATCTTTTAGGATTTGAAACAGCTCAACTGGAATTCTATCACATCCACTAGCTTTGTTTGTAGTGGTGCTTCCTAAGGCCCACTTGACTTCACATTCCAGGATGTCTGGCTCTAGGTGAATGATCATACCATCATGATTATATGGGTCATGAAGATCTTTTTCGTATAGTTCTTCTGTGTATTCTTGCCACCTCTTCTTAATATTTTTTGTTTCTGTTAGGTCCATACCATTTCTGTCCTTTATTGTGCCAGTTGTGCATGAAAAGTTCCCTTGGTATCTCTAATTTTCTGGAAGAGATCTCTAGCCTTTCCCATTCTATTACTGAAATAAGTTATGTAAACCTTATTGGGTTCTGAGTATGTTAACAGAAGAACAAAAATTTCAGAGTTCTGAAGGGATGTATTGAATAATATAATGAAGCAATGGGCATCATAACTGAAGACAATTCTGGTAAGGCTGAACTGGATAAAAGACCGTTGCCTCGAATAATATTTTCCCTTTATATTTCTCAGTCTGTAATTTTAACCTGTTGACCTTGCATTTTTACTAAGAGCTAAAACGATTCAAGATCAACAGACTAGCCCTCAACACCTGGAAGATCCTGTTCTCATAAGCACATCCCAGAAATCATAAGCAAATGTTGACCTTCTTTTTACAAGGCAAACTGCTGAGGCAGAAACCAAAATACCAGCAAGTATGCAGACAGCTAAGGCTTCATCTAAGCAGGATGTAAAATGTCAGGCCATTAATCTTATATTTTTAATGCAGTGGTTACAAAGGATGGGGTTGAAGTGGGACTGAAAAACAATACTGAATTTAGAGAATTCCTTCCCCCGCCACCGCCCCCTCCCCCTGCCTTTTTTAAGCCTTAAATACTGATACCTACTTACGAGGGTTGGGAACTAGCAAAAGCTCCATGGGATTCCAGGGTGAGCATTCATTTCCCAGCCTCCATTCCTTGGCTGTCAACAAAGGCAGAAAATGCCCAGTCAGGGCCCATTGGCGCTTGCCAACACAGAGACCTGTTTCTTATTTCATCCGGCAGAGTGTAGAGCTGTAGTTACCATCACTAAGGTAGAGAGCTTGGCATCCCTCCAACAACTGATACTGTGAATTCATCAAGACAAAACGAGGCAATCCCAGTTGTGAGACAGAAAAACAGGGGTGTGTATATTCTAATGGTAAGCCATGGTTAATACACGGTGTTAGACAGGTATTGGTATTTTGTGTACTCTTGAGTCTAGTAAGAATATAAATGAATCTCTACATTTTTCTATGTGAAAATTCTGGTTCTACATTCCCCAGATAGGTTTACTGACTCAAAAACTGAAGCCCCAGAATTCTAGTAGCTAAGGCAGTTAAAACCAAAAGAATGCAGGTTTACCTTGCCTAGTGAGAAACAGAACCCACTATCCTCTAATATAGCAGTCCTTGACCTTTTTTGGCACTAGGGACTGGTTTCATGGAAGACAATTTTTCCTTGGACTGGGGTGGGGTGGGGTCGGGGGATAGTTTTGGGATGATTCAAGCACATTACATTTATTGTGCAGTTTATTTACAGTTCATGGAATTCTCCAAGCCAGAATACTGGAGTGGGTAGCCTTCCCTTCTCCAGGGAATCTTCCCAACCCAGGCAGGTCTCCCATATTGCAGGCAGATTCTTTAGCAGCTGAGTCACAAGGGAAACCCCTCACTTATTTCTATCATATCAGTTCTACCTCGGATCACCAGGCATTCGATCCCAGGGTTTATTGCAGGCAGATTCTTTAGCAGCTGAGTCACAAGGGAAACCCCTCACTTATTTCTATCATATCAGTTCTACCTTGGATCACCAGGCATTCGATCCCAGGGGTTGGGGGCTGTTGAGTCCTGTGCCAAGGACACAGGGGCAAGGCTTTACACCAAGGCCAGAGAAGTGGAGCCCAGGACCAAGGTCACCTCCAAAGCTGACTAAGCTCCTTTGTAATCATTGCCAAAAGCCCCTGTGATCACTAACAGGCTTCCTGACTCCAAATTAAGCAAAAATGCCCATGCCAGTAGTCACCCTACAGCTCCTTAATCAATCACCTAATGCCATCCTTCCAGCAGGAATTTTGTGGAAGCTATAAAAATTGGTTACTAACCCATGAAAAGCGACGGCTCTCCCTGGTCTGTCAAGGAGGTCGGCCTACTGCACTCACAGAGCCCACATTACCCCTGGTCTTTGTTCTAATAAACTCACTCCCTTCTGAAATGCTGTGTGTCTGGAAATTCTTTTCCAGTCTGAGCTTGGACTTTCTCAACGGGGGCCCCTACTCTAATAAACATTTAAGAAGTCATATATGCTTTTTACAGCTGGGAGAGAAGTCTGTTTCTGTGGTTCCTTCTACCCTGACACCTCCTGCCAACACACTGGGTAATGTGCGTTGTCAGTAGTGACAACACAGAATCCCAGAAGGGGCGGCTCTGTGAACAGAGCACTGGCCCCGAGCTACCACATTCATCAGGGATACCATTCCAGCAAGCCTGCGTGTTCACACCTCATCCAGGGGTCAGGGTCTCAGGCAGACCCCTAGGAACTCCAGGGGGGTGGGGAACTGAGTCATAGACATCACACTCTGGTGCATGGAGATCACGGGCCTGAGACTACGAGGTCTTCAGTTCTCTCCCTGAAATCCCTGGGCATCTCCCCTTTGCTCTAAGCTGTTCTTTTCTTCCTGCTAAAGAGCAAAACTGACTGTTCGAAGGGCATCATCCCATGTCACCAAGAACCTCCTTCCTACTTGCCTAAAGTAAGTTCACACAGCCCATCAATGAGACTGCGTCATGATGCAGGAAATGAAAGCCCGCACGCACACTTGGTTCTTCTCAAACTATAAGCTTTTATTCTATTTTATATGTCACTCATCCAGAACATGACGAGTATATGGGTGGCATCGTTCATACTCAATGTGAAATGACGTAATGCACACAAGTCACTTGCCCTTTGCTGGGCCCAGGTGCACGAGGCAGGAAAGAGCGCTCACGAAGCCCACCTTGAACGGTGGCCTGCTGGGGTACTGGATGTGCTATCCTCATTTCCCAGCTCTCACATGCTCCCTGGAGTTAGATGGGTTGAGATGGACATTTGGCTTGGAACTGAAGTTTCTAATTTTACACTGCTGAGTACAGCTGGACTGTTTCCCAGCCTACTTCAGAATCAAGATGCTGCCCACTCTCTCTACTGTGATCATTCTGAGTGTGGGATTTATTATTCACCACGCTGTCCTTCAAATCAAACAGAGAAAAGCAGGCCTCAAGACCACAAGTCAGGAAAAATTGGAAAGTGTTCCCTTTCTCCATCCTGCTCAGTTTTTCCCATAACCTGTTCCGGCCTGGAAGACGAGAGCTTCCCGTCTCTGATGGATACAAATGTGGGAACAGCTTTGGTCTTAAACAAGAGGCCAGAGCCTTCTTCCCTCTCTAATCTTGCTACCTGTGTGCCTCACACCTTCCTTCACAAGCAGGGGGACCACTGGCAGTGAACAGTTCAAAGGTTCACCAAAATCGGGGCTTTAGACGATGTTCAACACAGCACAGCAGCAAAAACAGATACTGAAGGGGCTCCACCACAGCTGAGCGCCTACTTTGCAAAGGTCAAAACCGTCCCTGTTTTGGTAAACTTCCTAAAGTCTGTTCTACCCCACGCACTGTGACAAACTTCCCTTGCCCAAAAGACTGCAACATCGGGTCAAAAAAGGTGGATAAGAAATAAATTCTCAAGCTACAGGAATACGACAGTTTGTTAAGTAAACCATCATGTGACCCTCACCTGCACACAGATCAGAGTGGGGAAACTGGAGGCGGAGTGGAAAAGAGAAATGCTCATGCTGTGTGATTTGATCAAGGGCACAGCTCATAAAAATGTCAACAATCTGGAATTTTCCTATAAAAAGTTGAGGAAACATGCCAATAGCCAGAAATGAGATGCCTTAAATGCCAACAGTTTGACCTGTTGGCACTGAGCCAATGTTCTCAGAAGAAAAGGAGGATGCTTCCTCTGGGGCCAGGGGAGCTGGTCAAAAACCCCGCCTATCACACAGAAAGAGAGGGAAGGGGGGGAGATCAGCAAAGAGCAGCTGTAAAGGGTTGAGGGCCAAGGATTTGAAACCAGTGTCAGCTAAGAGTTTACCATGTGGACCCCAGGATCTCTCACGCTACAGTAAAAACAGATGTATTCTTCCAAAGTTCTCCCTGTATATGCTGTAACGTGGGGCAGAGATGAGGTTACACAGGCAATGCCAGAGGTGGTCTCCCCACTCTATAGACATCTGCAGCAGTTCATTTACAGTAACCAGGTGGGAGGGCTATCTGACTGAAGAAGCACAGTTGCTGAGTTACACTCAATCAAGAAGGTATCTGAGAAAGGTCGTCCACTCTGGACCCCATGGGCATCTGGGACAGACACATCTGTCAGTGAGGGAGGAAGATCACCCCTGTAGAACCTGTCAGATTAAGCCCACATGACAGAGAAGGGTTTCACAGCCTGATCACCCTAAGAACCAGCTTGGGGAGGGAACTAACAAGCACATTCTAAGAAGTTATGGATTAGTGTCCTCCCAAATAAAACATGAGTCTTTATTGTTACATTTCCAACTCACAGAATTCCAGGCTATCATGAGACATATATACACAGATAATCACTAATCTATGCAGTTATCTTCTGCACCCTCTCTCAAAATTTGGCCCAAGATGTTTTCCAGTTCAACCCCACACACCAACTCGGGATAAACAGAAACGCTGAAGTCTTGTGGTTTAACCCTCTGTTCCAAAGTACTATTAGAGGTGGAATATCTGTTGGAGGAGGCGCTTTTGCTGGGTTGGAACAGAGCTGAAGACTTCTGGGTGTGGTTAAAGTGTGAACCTCTCTGCCTTCTGACCCACAGACACTGTGTCTTTCCTCTTCATTGTTTTGTCTCTTTCCATAGCGGTTGCCTTACAGGTTGTCATAGAGATCGCTCTTCTATTCAGAATCACCCTAGAAGGCAGGTGGTTCAGATGAGCAGGACTGTTAACCTATTAAGTTACTGAGTCTACAACTGAGGAATCTGAACTCTGGGATTACCACTCAAAATAAATATTATTTCAAAGGAAATAACAAACTACTTGGCTGGCAAGTGAAAATGCCTAAGTCTTTCTAAACCACAACTGCCAAATAGACTCGGGCTTTATGCTACATCCCAAGACAGAAATCAGGTAACCTACATCTTCAGAGGAATTCACAAAGCACTCCTTCCTGTTTCTTCCCTCAATGCTGAGAAATGACTCTGGAGCCGGAAGCTATAATATACAACTTGGGGCTCAGGTAAAAACAGACCTAAGGCCCAACCCTGATTAACACTGACTATTCTTTTTCTTAAGTCTAATGGTGCCTGCGTGGAGGCTCTCAATGGGAAAAGGAAGGATGTAGCAGGTGGAAGCTTGGAGAATCTGAGAGATGAGGGCAGATCCATTAACAAACTCGGACGGCACTATGGGACATGACCACTGAAGCCAGTTATCTTCTGAAAATATCACGATCACTTCAAAACCCATTATCTTTTTTTTTTTCCCTTAATCAGGAAGTCAGGGGTGAGAGGAACATTCGCTTATATTGCTCATCAACACGTTCTTCTTAATAGAACTGAGACTATTTTAAGAATATGAGGAGCTTTTCAAGACATCTGTTTTCAGGACAGACTGCAGTAATAGAAATACTTTCCAGAGTTGGTTCGTTCTAGAGTCTATTCCAAGAACAGGGGCGGCCAACTTTCGTGAGGTTCCAAGGCATGTTCTGGCAAAAATATTTTCACTTTCCTAAAGTTATATGCTGTCTTAAAGTCCAACTATACTGTATACACATTTATATATACATATATATATATTCATCTGATCCTTTTCTGACAGCAAAAAAGGAAACACTTTTTTTAAACTCCAAAGTTGGTAATATTTGTAGAATATTATGAAGGCAGAATTTTGGTTGGTTGTTTTTTTATGACTCAGAACACAGATGAAATGAAAACTGCTGCACACTGCCCCAAATTCACATCTTTAAAAGGTCCTTTTCTCCATTCACATGAATTCGTCTGAATCATTGCCATCCTGTAGGAGACAAAACAGTGAAACCATAAAAGCCTCCAAAATAAGTAACTCAGTATAAAAACTTTCATGTCAGTATTAAGGAACAAGCTTCCTTACAATGAACTGTACAATTCAATTAAAAAGTAAAATAATTAAATTCAGTCATTTCTCCTCCATCTTAAATTGTTAGTTGTTTAGAATGGCGACAAGAGCAGTTGTGTTCTCGAAGGTGTCATCACTGCATGGCCTGGATTGCCCGGCAATGAGAGACCAGTGAGTCCCAAAATGTGAAGTGAGGCCCAGCGACTTACTATAGGGTGTGGAAAACAGGACTGCTTCAACGAACAGACCACAATATGAAACAAAACAAATACTGACTCGATGCTTTAATGACAACAAAGCTATAAATATGCAAAAATATTTTTGACCTAAATTCCATTATTTTGAGCCTCGGGGGTATCATGTATTTGTTATTTCACAAGGTGGCTTCTTTTTTTTTAATAGAAAAAGTCATCCAGAAGCTACAGGCTAGTTACCAAGTTAGCTGGCTTGCCAAGTTTTTGATTAGGAAAAAAAAATCCTCACATGGCAGTGGTATCTGTGTAAGGACTGACTTCATTGTGTATAAACAAGCCCGGAGACCAAGCACGAAAGCGAACCCCGAAGCTCCTTTCTGGGCTTCCCCGGTGGCTCAGACGGGAAAGAATCTGCCTGCAATAATGCAGGAGGCCCGGGTTCGACCCCTGAGTCAGGAAGATCCCTTGGAGAAGGGAATGGCAACCCACTCCAGTGTTCTCGCCTGGGGAATTCTATGGACAGAGAAGTCTGATGGCTCCATAAAGTCCAGAGCATCGCAAAGAGTTGGACACAGCCGAGTGACTTTCACTGTGAAGTTTCCTTCTGAGCTACTGCATACCCTAAGACAACTGCTCTGGACGCCAACATTCAATAATACTGTGAGTTCTGGTACATTTGCCTGAAAATGTCATAAAATGAACACAACATTGTTCTGGCTTCTCTCTCTTTCCCATGCTTTATACCTGCCTTGACAGAGAGGGAGGGGACTTCGGCTTACAGGTATGCGACATGCTTTTCTCCTTAATAGCTTGTGTTCAAGATAGGCAGGGAAGCGGGGGAGAAAGTAAAAAACAGTGCTTTCTGGGAAGTCTGGCTTGATTTCCATTCAGTGGGCTTCTCTCTGCTTCTCTTCAATTAGCACAATGAATCGAGGCCACAGTGGAAATGCCTTGGATAATTGTACAAAACGCCAACTACTGTTTGTAGTCTATCCACGCATACGAACTCTGACTGCCCAAGAGTTCTACACTGGAATAACAGTGTCAGAGATGTTGAAAGAATCATCCTATACTTCTGAAGGTCAGCTTGAGATCCCAAACACTAAGGATGTTTGTGTCCCCAAAACTCACTAAGATAATGTGGCTTAGTGCCAGTCAAAGTGAATTACTCCCTACAAAACCTGTGAGTTAGATCTGCAGAGTTCCCATGTGTCTGGGGATCTGTGCTTTTTTGGGATTATAGTAACTTTTAAATGTATAGCTGCAATCCAAGACTTGATTTGGACAATTTCTGTATTTTAGATTCCCTTTAAGAGTTAAAATATTTTGGGGGAAGATTCCCTGGAGAAGGGAATGGCCACCTACTCCAGCATTCTTACCTGGGAAATGACATAGGCAGAGCAGCCTGGTGGGCTACAGTCCATGGGGTCACAAAAGGGTCAGACACAATTTAGCAACTAAACAAGAGTCAACATGCTTTTCAGTGCAGCAAAGCAGGGTTCTCATCATCCACTTAAAAAGTGATAAGCAAATAAAATGTCACAAGAAACGGTTCATGGTTCCTGATACTAAATTTAGAAGTTAGAAAGAAATGATAGATGGAAGAAAATTATTCTAAACAGGAGAGCAAAAATTCAAAATTAAAACCAACCTCAGGGTGGAAGACTAATATTTTTCCTGATGAACTTGTGTAAGCTAAGTTAAAAATTAAGTTGTGTCTTAGGTAAACACCAGTCTTTAGCTGAAAATAACTGACCAAGCTGTGGATTCAAAAATTTCTGTGTCGCCTTAACAGAAGATGGTTACAAGGAGAATGAAAGTCCATTCTTTTGAAGAAGGAGGAAGAGCTATGTGAGTCCTTGCACTGTGAGAGAAGGGAAACACCCAGCACAAAACTTCCTCGGAAATTTGAACCTGGTTCCAACGCGGGCCTTGGGAACAGCAGCAGCAGTGACAGAGGGAGAGGAAAGGCAGGAAGGTTAATAATCCTTTGGTCTACAAACCTGACTTTCTAATCCTGGAACTTTTAACATGTCACCAATTGGGTAGTGTCTGTACACAGATGTATATTTGTGTGTGTATATGGTGTGTTTCTTAATTCCAAAACAACATCCAAACTTTGAAAATCCATAATGAAAATGCCTAAGGTCATAACACAATCTACATGCCAGATTTCTGCTGGGAAGTTGTCTCTAAATAACAGAAAACTTCAATAGCAACAACAACCACAGCAAAGACATCAGAACCTTGGAGAAGGGAATGGCAACCCACTCCAGTGTTCTCGCCTGGGGAATTCTATGGACAGAGAAGTCTGATGGCTCCATAAAGTCCAGAGCATCGCAAAGAGTTGGACACAGCCGAGTGACTTTCACTGTGAAGTTTCCTTCTGAGCTACTGCATACCCTAAGACAACTGCTCTGGACGCCAACATTCAATAATACTGTGAGTTCTGGTACATTTGCCTGAAAATGTCATAAACTGAACACAACATTGTTCTGGCTTCTCTCTCTTTCCCATGCTTTATACCTGCCTTGACAGAGAGGGAGGGGACTTCGGCTTACAGGTATGCGACATGCTTTTCTCCTTAATAGCTTGTGTTCAAGATAGGCAGGGAAGCGGGGGAGAAAGTAAAAAACAGTGCTTTCTGGGAAGTCTGGCTTGATTTCCATTCAGTGGGCTTCTCTCTGCTTCTCTTCAATTAGCACAATGAATCGAGGCCACAGTGGAAATGCCTTGGATAATTGTACAAAACGCCAACTACTGTTTGTAGTCTATCCACGCATACGAACTCTGACTGCCCAAGAGTTCTACACTGGAATAACAGTGTCAGAGATGTTGAAAGAATCATCCTATACTTCTGAAGGTCAGCTTGAGATCCCAAACACTAAGGATGTTTGTGTCCCCAAAACTCACTAAGATAATGTGGCTTAGTGCCAGTCAAAGTGAATTACTCCCTACAAAACCTGTGAGTTAGATCTGCAGAGTTCCCATGTGTCTGGGGATCTGTGCTTTTTTGGGATTATAGTAACTTTTAAATGTATAGCTGCAATCCAAGACTTGATTTGGACAATTTCTGTATTTTAGATTCCCTTTAAGAGTTAAAATATTTTGGGGGAAGATTCCCTGGAGAAGGTAATGGCCACCTACTCCAGCATTCTTACCTGGGAAATGACATAGGCAGAGCAGCCTGGTGGGCTACAGTCCATGGGGTCACAAAAGGGTCAGACACAATTTAGCAACTAAACAAGAGTCAACATGCTTTTCAGTGCAGCAAAGCAGGGTTCTCGTCATCCACTTAGAAAGTGATAAGCAAATAAAATGTCACAAGAAACGGTTCATGGTTCCTGATACCAAATTTAGAAGTTAGAAAGAAATGATAGATGGAAGAAAATTATTCTAAACAGGAGAGCAAAAATTCAAAATTAAAACCAACCTCAGGGTGGAAGACTAATATTTTTCCTGATGAACTTGTGTAAGCTAAGTTAAAAATTAAGTTGTGTCTTAGGTAAACACCAGTCTTTAGCTGAAAATAACTGACCAAGCTGTGGATTCAAAAATTTCTGTGTCGCCTTAACAGAAGATGGTTACAAGGAGAATGAAAGTCCATTCTTTTGAAGAAGGAGGAAGAGCTATGTGAGTCCTTGCACTGTGAGAGAAGGGAAACACCCAGCACAAAACTTCCTCGGAAATTTGAACCTGGTTCCAACGCGGGCCTTGGGAACAGCAGCAGCAGTGACAGAGGGAGAGGAAAGGCAGGAAGGTTAATAATCCTTTGGTCTACAAACCTGACTTTCTAATCCTGGAACTTTTAACATGTCACCAATTGGGTAGTGTCTGTACACAGATGTATATTTGTGTGTGTATATGGTGTGTTTCTTAATTCCAAAACAACATCCAAACTTTGAAAATCCATAATGAAAATGCCTAAGGTCATAACACAATCTACATGCCAGATTTCTGCTGGGAAGTTGTCTCTAAATAACAGAAAACTTCAATAGCAACAACAACCACAGCAAAGACATCAGACCTGGATTATGTTAACAACTTCTGCTCAACTGTTAAACTGTTTTCTCAGAGTAGTTTCCAGAAGGGATTAAATACACCTCATCTCTCGATACTGATGCTCTGTGGATAAATAACAACCAAAGACTATATGGATAAGAAATAATAATGACCATTTATAGAGTGTCTAAGTCAAGGAAGAACTTTCACATACATGACTTTGTTTAAATTCTAGAACAACCCCATGAGATAACATGTCTCTCTTTACTACTGATGAATTGTCCCTTGGAGAGGTTAAGTAACTTTATTAGTCTTATCCAATTAAACAGATGGTTTAAGCCTCAGAACTTCAAAGTCAAGGCTCTATTTAATTACCAAATACTACTCTGGAATTTTTCACGAATAAATTATAAAGGTACATCTCTGACTCATAAAGGAGCCCCGTAACTTTAGTTCTCCAAAGGGACAGGAATAAGAATACTGTTCTTATCAATTTTTAGAAGGACATTTACAGATGAACAAGGTGCAAAATGCTATTAACAATTACAATTCACACACTGAATATGGGGTTTGGTGAGGTGACCTTTAAGGAAACTTAAGTTCTGTTATTTCTAAGCATCTAAAGCAATGTTGCTTAACAGTATTTTTTGCTGTGATGGAAATGACCTACCTCTGTACCATCCAATAGCATAGCCACTAGACACACGTGGCTAGTGTGACTGAGACACTGAATTTTTAAACTAAATCAAATTAAATGTAATTTTTTAAAAAAATGTAATTTAAATAGCCACATGCAAAGAGTGCCCAGTGCACTGGACAATACATCTAAAGCATTATATGCTATACTATAAACATGCAACATAGCAGCAGATACACCTGTCTAATTTCATTTTTTTTTTTGCACAGACTGTTTAATAATGGCCTAACTATGCTATCTCCAGCCACTTCAAAATAAATTTTGGGCAAGATAGCACTTGTGGACAGTAAGTCCCTGCCACGGTTCCAATAAAATAATGATGTGCTTGCTGATGCCAAGATGACCCCTTCTACACTATAACGTGAATCACCATCTCTCTTTATCTTAGGTCCTCAGGAACATGAAGACAACCAATGTTTGGTACTTAGACTACAGTTAAGATCTTTCATTTAATTTAACTGAAGGTGATAATTTTGTCCTCGCTCAATTAAAACATAGAATCTGCAGTCACATTACTATAGAACGTTAATAAATAAAGGCACTTTTGGCATGCCTGCTGGAAAAGAGGGAAACAGGGAATGAAAAAGTTCTTGAAAACAAACATGGGGCAAAGACCACAGGGAAGGTGGGCAGTGTCTAATAGAATCCACCTGAGTGTTCAATCACTGCCAAACCACTGTTAAGCCATCCGCGAGATGTCAACCAACACTGGCCAGAAACTCAATCATTACAAACTTAGTTATTTTAAGGCACAAAATTAGAGTGAATAACTTGAATGTACCTGATTTGAAGACATATTCTCAACTTTCATTAGTGACGAATAGCTCCTAGAAGAAGAAAAAAAAAAAACAACAAAAAAAACATTTTAAGTAAGATTTTCTGGCTGGCAAGTATTTCATGAACATTTACCAAGTATCTAGCAATGCTGAGGGCCTTCTGAAGAAAACAGCATCTCTGCTGTGACTTGTTGTCTCACCTGGGTCTTATTCTTTTTTAACTTCAATCACCTGAAACTTGGGCTTCAACACTGATCTCTGAAGCTGCCAACTCTGAAACATCCCCACCTTAGGTAGACCGAGGTCCTACCCTTGGTCTTTTCTGATCTGTTACACACTTCTCCTCTACTGACTCCTTTTCTGATTTCTGCTTATTCCTTCCAGTTTCAATGTTTACACTGTGAGCTAGATTTCAATGTTAATTACTACGAACAAAGCTAGTGGAGGTGATGGAATTCCAGCTGACCTATTTCAAACCCTGAAAGATGACGCTGTGAAAGTGCTGTACTCAACATGCCAGCAAATTTGGAAAACTCAGCAGTGGCCACAGGACTGGAAAAGGTCAGTTTTCATTCCAATCCCAAAGAAAGGCAATCTCAAAGAATGCTCAAACTACCGCACAATTGCACTCATCTCACACACTAGTAAAGTAATGCTCAAAATTCTCCAAGCCAGGTTCCAACAGTACATGAACTGTGAACTTCCAGATGTTCAAGCTGGATTTAGAAAAGGCAGTGGAACCAGAGATCAAATTGCGAACATCCACTGGATCATCAAAAAAGCAAGAGAGTTCCAGAAAAACATCTATTTCTGCTTTCT